CCATCCAACCCACAGGCTTTCTTTGGTTCCTGGCATCTTATCACAGCATCCCGAGTCAGCCTCAAGTCAACAGTGGTACACTGATCCTTCCTGCTTGGAATTGGTGTACATGTACATTGCTCAATGTCAAAGGCCATTTCATGTCAGTAGTCTCCAATCATCCAATGTCACAGGTTTTCTTCATGCAGTCTTGTTTCCGGAGTGATGACATTGACTGAAAAATCAAATTGCCTGAAAATTGGCTGTGGCAAAAGGGTATCATACAGTTTAAAATGAACACTATAACAAGCCCTCATATCTTTGACAGAACACAGGGCTTCAGAAGTGGCTGACCAGTCCAACCACAGGAAATCAGCAGCAAATTTAACAGATGGGTTCATCAGTCCTTCTGGCGTAATGCTGTTCAATGCTGTTTCACTGTCTCCTGTGAGTTCCATTAGAGATGTCATTTCACCAGGGCTGTCTTCCATTGAAGGATGTGTTCCACTGACTGAGTGAATTGGGAACCTGGATGCAGTCCGTGGTCATCAAATGACTTGAATGTTATGTTTCATGATGTCTGATCCACGATACTGGCCACAGTGCCTAGGGCTTGGTACAGCAACATCCTGTGGATTTTCCAATGTAGACCTCCATGCAGCTTACTGGGTTAGTTTGATGATCTGCTGCCAGTAATCTTCCTCAACAGGGAATCTGCAGGAAAGCATAGACGCAGATTAGATACTTCTATTCATCAATTATCAAACCAATGAAATGCAAGCCTACTGCTCACTCTTACTGCACTGCAACTTTCACAAAGTACTTGCAGCTCCTTGTGCGCAACAGCTTCAAGTCTTTAAATTTGAATTTCTCCTGTGATCACACGTAGATTTATTTCGAAACCTTCCATTCCTGAGATCTACAGCAAACCAACTACACAAGATGTTACTGAGAAAATCGCAAATACAGATAAAGCCGTTATGTTAGTAAACATCAAGCTGTCTTTGAATGAATCTGGCTCCTCAACCACTAACCTTGTCCCATGAGACCTGCACTAGCCAGTCTGGTTCCAAGGACAAATAATGCACTCCTTCTTCCACACACAGGGCAGGCAATGGGTGCAGAAAAGAAGACAGGCACCAAGCAATGCCAACCCAATTCCAGGGGTATGATGCCACCCTTCAAGGTCAAGGAGCCCCAGAAACTTGTGATGATGTAGCAGGAATTCCTTGACATCCAAGCAGACAGCATGGTGACATGGAGAGGTGCGTGGTGTACTATGATGGTGAGCTTGGAGGTCAGATCACAAGCCAATACTCAAAGCTGGTAGTAAACTCCAGTATCTGTGAAGAGAACCAACAAAAAGACAAGACATGATTTAAGTGATCACAACAATCAGCTTTTCACATCACAATATCGCATATTATAATGGGCCATTAATTAATTGCCACTTAAAACATGTACACTGTATTAGCAACTAAACATCATCTTGGCAATCATGACTGTTCATGTGCAAGCTTAGTGTGCAAAGTACATGCAAATCAACATGCCACACTTTTAAACAATTATTTTTAGGCAATTGATTCTTGGCATTGAGTCGTGATAGTTTTTTCTTTTTCAAATTCCACATCTCCTATTTACTTAGCTTATGTGGCCATTTCGACTAATGTTTCAAAAAGGATTGCATTCAGTTACCAGCTTTATTAAAGAGTACAGTGGCACACCATTATAACAAGGTCCTTTGCATTTTACAAATTACCTTGTTATAATAATGACCAATAATACATGCATCTATGGGGTTTTTGACAATGTCACTGTTGGCTCTCACAATCTCTCAAAAACAAATAACTGGAGATTGTATGTCACATTCACGTACCTGTACCTCACTAGCAACCATTAATCACCCTGTATGCACTTATCACCTAACAGCTAGCAATCAAGCCTGACGCCTGTCTGCTGGAAAACAATCCAGCAATGGCCAAGATGGTGAGTAAATAAACACCAGATCAACCACCACATTCATCATCCTAACAGGGACTCTAATCAATCACCTGGATACATGTACCTACACTTAGTGAGTTTGTGAAAGCTTCAAAAATTAACAGGACAGGTACTCCATCATTATGTTTGCTCAAGTTCCATCACAAATGGCTGGCTGAATGTCAACATCTACTGCGTGAGAAACATCAATCTTAAACAGGCTCTGAATGATTTACTATCCAACTGGCTCCTAAGGCAAAATGAACACTTTCTCCAGCAGATCTGAGAAAATTCAATACATGTACATGTATATCTCACATTAACTTCAAACCACACAGCTCTGGGACTGAATAAATCTAGACACCTGAAACTTACGCTCATCAAATTAAGCTTGATGCAAGTCTAGCTGACTGGTGGTGGAAGCCAATCAACAACTCCACGCATATATATAAATGAAAGACTAAGGGAAATCACTAGGTGAAATTGCTCCATGCTGAGCAAGAAATGCACCGCATTTTCAAATTAAAAGGACACTGAAGGGAAAATGAAGTTCTATATAAATATGATTTAACATGTAGCATCTTCGCGTCTGCCCAACCCTGTTACCTGTCATAATCTCCTTGTCATTGACGAGGGGCACTTCTACACAGACCCGTACAGACAAAAGTTAGACTGTGAGCTTTGTTTGAAATTTATTTTCACTCTATGTATAAGCTTCCTACATTTTAAAGAAAACACGAGTTCTAGACAGACTTTCAAAATTTCGGTCATACACGTCGTATACATGTACAGCACAGCTGTTCAAATGGATAGTTGATATTTAGAATGAGCTCACGATAGATTTTTTGGAGACATGGTCACTACCGATGTCGTGTGCAACTCCTTTCCTAAGCTCCAGGATAAAGGAAAGAATGAACATTCTGTTTCTAGCCATTACACTCAGTGCTTGTGCTTATTTTAAATGATCTATTAGGAATGAACAAATGTGTACATGTCACCACATAGCACATTTGTCAAACAGGCGCACTTCTTTCAGCATAACTTGGCCACTCGAGTTGCTGCAATGCAACTTACAGCAACAACATCAAATTGGATAGTATTTGATTTGGCACTTCTCTCATAACCAGAAAGTGGGTCATCTGAAGTATAAGTTTGTTTGACGATAAAATTGTTAGGTTGCTCACCCTTAATAATAGTACTCAAAAATTAAAGTGGAAAGGTAAAAAGAAAGATGGATGTTTACCTGACGGTTTTAATTTTCAAATAAAATTCCATTTCATCGCCGGCTTCTCAACAAACTGACAATTAAGCTGTGGTCTCCCCCACATATGTGTTTATTTCCCCTGTCCAAAAGGGCGCGGAGTACTTCAGAGTGCTTTATATGTACCATAGGAGAGCAATGTTAGCATACCCAAGTTGACAAGCAATAGACGCCCTGCAGACTGACAAGTAGAATAAATGACAGGCACCTTTTTTTCTGCAATGGTTGTTTGAGATGAAGGGATGTCAATTCCTTCCCCTGTGGTTAGAGACATGAACAGCTACTGAACAGATAGCAACCAGCGTGACTTACGACTTGCGTGTACTGGGAGATTGCCTGCATACATGTACATGGGTGGTCAAGATTTTCTTTCAACAAGAAAGGACTGTGTCTTATTACGTGAACAAAAGTAGCCATCTGTCTAAGGGAACCTTCCCCTCCTAACCAACTTTTCTCTGGATCCTAATTAGAAACAAGTAATAAGGAGTGAAGTTGGATGTACAAGTACCATGACAAACTAAATTGGGAGACATTGTTCAACATTTGTAGACGTCATGGAAATTGCACTTCTACAGGATGCAGGAATGAATATCACTTCAAACTCGACAGCAGACAAAGTGGAGCCCGATGTCACATTAAGAATTACTGTAACAATTCTGACAGCACTGACAATCTTTCTGAGTGTCTCACTGAATCCACTGATGCTTTTCACCTTACGGCATGTCACCAGCATCCAGCCAACCACCAAAATCTTCATGGCTTCACTCACGCTGTCTGATCTTTGTAATGCTCTAGGCTTGCTCCCTGGATTAGTGGAATTGTTTGCTGGATCTTGGTTGCTGGGTGACTTCCTCTGCACAGTGAATGGTGTCACCAAACACATATTCTCTGGAGTGAGCATCTTCTCTTTGGCACTTCTGACTGTAGATCGTTACATTGCCATCTCCCGTCCTCTGCGGTACCTTTCCCTGATGACTGTGTTCAGAGCACAGATCATGGTGGGCAGTACATGGGCAGTGTTTAGCATCGCCTGCATTCTGTCATTTGGGATTTATGGAAATTCTGTCATCTCTCTGGATGGTCCTTATTCACTTTGCCTTGGGAAAACATATGAATGGAGAGCATACAGCATGGTTGCAATATTTGTTTCCTTGTTAGTGACCATATTCATCTTGTACGGACACATCACCGTAATAGCTCGCAATCAAGCCCGACGCATTGCTGCTGAAAACCGAGCAGGCAATGGCCAAGGTGGGCAGAGAATAAACACCCGATCAACCACCACCATCATCATCATAACGGGGACTCTGATCATCACCTGGATGCCTACAGTCATCAGGTTAGCAACAGCTCCACAAAGGGGTTTCCTGACTTACAAAAACTACATCGTCTTAATGTTCACACAAGCTGTGTTGTTTTCAAATGGTTGGTTGAACATTGTCATTTATTACCTGAGGAACCAAGATCTTCGCCAGGCACTGCGTGGGTTACTACTGGACTGGTACCACAGAGTGACAAGCAAACACTGATATATTTGCATGTTTTAAGCACTCTACATGTATACACAGGGATCTGCAAAGCACCTAAATGAAATAAAGTTTATCCGAAGAAATTTGAAAGTCATCAGCTGTAAAGCCTGAACACCATGCCATCAGGAACACAACTCAGGAATTTGAAAGCCAGTAACTGGAAGTTCTGCAGCATTTGACTGACAGGATCAGTGGCAATGCCAGGAATGTGTAGATGTAGATGAATCATCCATTCCACTTGTAAAGTCACACCATAGACCCTATTCACATGGAGACCATTTTTGATCTTATTCCCCAAATTGTTTTATATATTGCAAGCTGTTGATTAGGATGGCACCAGACTTTGTACACTTCCATGTGTTCAAGCCTCCCTTTCAATAATTTTTGGAACCAGGCAAGATACAATTCCATGTGTTCAATCCTGAATTTGAAATTATTCATCAGAGTAGACGGGTGCAAATTTGTTATGAAATTTCATTTTTTATGATTGCTTCATTTGTTCTCTCAACATTTAAAAATGAAGAGTTAACCACACTTTAAGAGTCAATATGGCTGGCCCGTGAATAAAGTCTATTGTTTATACTTCCAGCCTCTTTACGTTTCAAAACAAGAGATGCTCAAATTGCAGGAAAATACAAGTAGTACATCTCCATACTATTAAAGCTTATTTTGTGCTGGTCACATAGCAATTCTGACATCTGTTAAGAACAATTAACTTTCTTCAACCTGAAAACATCAACTGTATCTGATGCCGTATTTTCAAATTAGTCATTGATTATTTTGTTGTTTTTCAACAGTAAGGGATCCACAAATCGTTCATTACTGTACAGGTTGGTCCTGATGCCTTTTGCCTTGAATAAACCAAAGACTGGAGGACATACCTGACTATTACATTAACAGTTATCCCGTTGGTAACGATTCTCATCCTATATCTGCATATTGCTGTCATGGCTCATAATCAAGCCCAAGAAATCACTGCTGACAACCACATTGCTAATGGCCAAGGTGGGCAGAGAATAAACACAAGATCAACCACCACCATCATCATCATAACAGGGACTCTAATCATCACCTGGATGCCTACAGTGATAGGGTTTGCTATATTCCAACATGTACAGGATGTTGAGGAATGGCTCTACTTTTTCCTAGCCACGCATGCTCTGCTGGTGTCAAATAGCTGGCTGAATGTTGTAATCTACTACCTGACGGACAGGGATCTTTGCCAGGCACTACATAGTTTACTGTCTGATTCTTATCACAGTTTGATTCAGAGATGCTTGGCTTAGCTTCTTGGAGTAGTCAGAGAGGAATTTCAAGACAAAAATGCCCACACAAGATTGGAAGGAGTAGACACACACTTCCATTCTATTAGGCCCCTTAATTGCAAGTAACAGGAACAATTTCATGTATCACAACATAAAATCTTCATCACGTTATTACTTTGATGCAAAAACATCGCTGGGTAAATTGAATAGTTTTTCAGAAAGGCAATAGATGGTTCTGTTTCCTCATTGCCAAGAAAACACTTACAGGTACAGTATTACACTCAATTAACCAAACCCCTCTCCCGGATGCAATATAATTAGACAGGCCTATTTGAAACAATACCATTTCTGCCCCCACATGCACCTGTCTCCATAATTGCAGGTGGGTATAGAGACAATTTGTGATACAGCACATACCTTGTACATTTATCGATCCAACTACATTTTACAGCCAATAACAATTGCTGAACTGGATTGTCAAGCAAAAGATTGAGGCCATGCAGAAAAGGGAGCTGATGACGTGGATTATGAAAGCAATAAATAAATAGTTCCATTCAACATTTGACAAATAAGTACTTTATTAATAATTAATTAGATAGGGGGTCAGCTGAAAAGCAACCAAAATGACCTTGATAAGTTTTGTTCCGTCATGCTTTAAAAGTACACGTATATAACACATGCAGGAACAGCAGCTAATGTACACATGTCGGTATGCCACAAAAATGAACGGGATTCCACAAACAACTGGGACATTCTGGTACATGTACATCCTCAGTGGAAGCTGTGTCTCTAATGGCAAATGACTGCGTCATAATGTGTTCAATTCATGTGTAAATCTCTCTGGATGATAAAGACCTGGGCATTCTAAGAATGCAACAAGAGTAAATTCTTGGGCATACATGTATTCATAGTGGCTCTGACGATCTGAAGTGGGGATCTTTGACCTTTCTGACCGACGCTTTTCAAAACCATGGAAACTACAGAACTGACAGGATTATCCATCACCTCCAATTCTACTGGTGAAAGTCTGGAGTATGGCCCGACCTTAACACCATTCCACATTTTCGTGATGATTTTCACCACGCTGACAATTCTGTTGATATTACTCCTGAATCCACTGATGCTTGTCACTTTATGGCGTGTCACCAGCATCCAGCCAACCACCAAAATTTTCATGGCTTCGCTCATCTTGTCTGATCTCTGTAATGGGACACTATGGATGCCTACTCTGTCAGAATTATTTGCTGGAACTTGGCTGCTGGGAGATTTCCTCTGTGCAAGTAACGGTGTGACTGCGTACATATTTAGTGCGTTAAGTATCTATTCTCTTCTTCTCCTCTCTGTAAACCGTTACATTTCCATTTTGCATCCTCTGCGGTATCCTTCAATGATGACTGTACTCAGATCAAAAATTCTGGTATGCAGCACATGGGGCACAATTATTATAATTACAACTGTTACATATGCTTCAGTTGACCCTTCAACTGTTCTACAGATTGGAAATAGCACTTACATGTATCAACTGTGTCTGACCAAAACACTCAAGTGGAGAGTGTATCTTTCTGTCATACTGACTGTACTTCCATTAGTGACCATATTCATCCTGTACGCACACATTAACCTAATAGCTCGCTATCAAGCCCGACGCATTGCTGCTGAAAACCAAGCAGGCAATGGCCAAGGTGGGCAGACAATAAACAACAGATCAACCACCACCATCATCATCATAACGGGGACTGTATTCATCACCTGGATTCCAGTGACGATCAGGAAAGCAGTGGTGGAACAAAATCACTCGGTGACATATGACAGCGACTCGTATATCGTTATCATGTTCACCCAAGCTCTGGTGTTGTCAAATGGCTGGTTGAATGTCATCATTTATTTCCTCAGGAACCGGGATCTTCGCCAGGCTCTGCGCAGTTTACTCTCTGACACGTGGCAAAGTCTGAACCAGAGAATCTTGCATTAGATCTGTGAGGGAAGCTTGAACAGCTTGGACAGTGAATGATGCACTGGCAGGACGTGTTAATTCACTGTCTTTCAAAACATGCCAACAGAACCTGGATTTTATCTCTTTTCATACTTAAATTTAAATGTTTTCATCCCATCACCCTTGTAGAAATTTCTGCACAAATTACCAGTTAACGAAAACGTGTTTATTCTGTTTAATAACCAAAAGAACATAAAAAGAATTTTATTCCAGCTATTCTGCACAGAAAGCCGCCTTTTTTCTCCTCCACACTGCTTTCTCACCGTTTTTCTTGACTCAGAAATTCTTTCAACCCTCCTTTTTTCCTTTTTTAAATTTTTTGTTTTCTTTCTTTTTTTGTCTTTTAACTTGGAAGTTTTCCTAAGACCACCATCCTATTTTACTGCTATTTTTGAGGGGCTTGGCCTTATTCGGATTTCATAATGCCTTCAGTAAACCTTAGGGATCGTGGGAAATTTGATTTCAGTTACAGCATGAATCACATCAGCAGTGTGATTGGGACAGCTCAGCATTGCATGTTTTTAATCTTTAACAAGGTAGGACAAGGTGTCTGTAGACAGATGAAGAGATTTACCGTAGATCATAAGTATTGCAAAGTACATGTAATTGTCGAAAAATTTGTTTTGCGGGTTCATACAGTCAAATGGTTACCACTAGTCTGGCTACAGGCAATCGGGAATGGCAGTGCATTTCATATATGATGGAGAAATATTGCATGGAGAAAGCCGTCTGAAGAACTCTGCAAATGATCTTTGCAATG